GAGAACATCGACTTCCAGTTTTCTCTGGGCTGGACTGCCCTCGTCACCCGCTTCATCGGTGCCGCAAACGCCAAACGAGCGCTGAGTGGCGCCGACCGCGCGCAGAAGGCAAGTTCAGCGCAGCGTCACATCTGTGAAACCTTCAGAAAAAACAGAGTGCACATGGAAACTGTCTCTCTGCTGCAGGAACGCTCCACCTTTAGGGATGAAATGGTGGTTTCCATAGCAACGGGTCTGGTCTCTGTCACATCCAGGGCGTCCATGACGGTGCTGGTGATCGGCGGAGTGGTACGTTTTATTTTACAGCATTGCTGAGGTTCAGTAACCAGGTGCTGCCCCTCGGCAGGCTTCCAGAAGGTGGCCAATCATAAAAAGGGCCCAGTGCAGGAGAAAAGATGAAACTGCAAATGATGCCGAGCGTCTGCGACGCATAAACACGCAGGCCTGCTAAGATGGTCTCTCTCCAGGAGATTAGTCCAGGAATGACTCCGAGCCACTTCTTATCTTTTCCACGAGGGCTCTGTTAAAATCGGGGACAGGTGTGTGTCTCTCAGGTGCGTGCTGTTGTCGCTGCAGGTGTGGCGTTCAGTGGGCTGGCGTCTCATCGCCCTCTCTGTCTCTCTGTATGGTCTCCTCTACCTGTACGAGAAACTCACCTGGACTGATGCCAGCAGGGAGCGCGCTCTGAAGCAGCAGTTTGTTGAGCACGCCGCTCAGCGCCTGAGAGCCATCGTCCCCGTCGCCAGCAGCGCCTGCAGCCATCAGGTGTGCAAGTAAGACCCCACCCACGCCTGACGCACATGTCCAGGGAGCGAACACCTGGAGGCTCCGCCTTTAATCTGCTCTGTTTGTGTTTGAGGGAGCTGTCGTCCACCTTCAGTCGCCTGACTCAGAGGGTGGAGCTGAGTGACGCTGAGCTGGAGGGAAACATCCGTCAGCTGAGCTTCAGGATCCAGAGACTGGAGAACATCCAGAGGCGTTCCAAGGCCTTCAGGTCAGAGCTCCGAGCCGCTCGTGGTTTGGAGAGTTCACAGGAACTCCCGCTCAGAAACAAACTTCAGTGCACGAGATGCAAAAGTTAAATTCAGGGATTGCACATCAGATCTTTGGCGTTTTCTGGACAGTCAGCGTGCAGAGATCCCAGAAGTCCCAGTTTGGGAATCATGAATCTGGTTTTCCAACGTTTGGCAGCTTTGGGTCAAAATAAGGTTTAAAAATCGTTTTTCTGTGCAGCGTTTACTTACAATATTCCAGCGTCCATAAACACACCCCACGCACTTCCAGGTCCTGTTAGCATCTCAGCAGAAGCTGCATGTCTTAAAATCTTGTTTTCGTTTGTTCAGGAACAGAGCCACCGAGCTGGAGACTCAGCTGGAGGTCTTTTCGGTTCAGTACCTGCAGGAAAACTAAAGAAGAAGAACTGCTGCTGTGGTGAAGCTCCTGGCCAATCAGAAGCTGGTGGAGAGTCCTGAGGTATTGCTCGTCGCCCAGCGTTAACACCGACAGTCGCATAAATCCCAGACAGCTCCCTGCTCAGGTGACCTTCGTCACCAACCAACACAAACCAATAGAGGACAGCTTACCACTGAGGGCTGAACAGGAAGCAGCAGGAGACCCTGAGTCGACGCTTTTGCTTTAGAATCAAGGGTCAAAGTTCGTCTGTAGGCTCGTACAGTCTGGCCTTCATGAGCAGCTGATGAGCTCCTGAATCTTTGGCTCCACCTTCAGGCCATTTGGGTCTCCTGAGGTGGTGAGTGGATGCTCCGCCTTCGCCGCGACCACAAACAGCTGAACCTCAGCAGCTTATCTCACACCAGCTTCTAATATCTCATCATGTGACTGTGATTAGACGTATTGATCAGTGATAGAATCCATAAATCTGTGCATTATTGCTCCGACGTGTGATGTGTTTCAGAGCTCCACCTGGCAGGAAGTCAACCTTCTAGTGAAAAATCAAGAAAATAAAAGCATTGAATGTTCTATGGCTTCATTTTTTCCTCTCTTTAATGGCCCTGGTGTACTCAACACTGTTTCACTGCTGAACGCAATTAAATACTCAGCTCACCCCTCAGTGCAGCACATTCAATTACCTCCACCCGTCCCCATCAGGGTTACACAGACAGGTGGAGGTGGGAGTGCTGCAAAGAGCAGGTCAGGCCTCAGATACAGCCTTAAGCAGTTTAAAAGAAGTGTCCTGAGTAAGATTTACCAGTTTAAAGATCAGCCGAGATGAGCTGAGCCGATCTTGTTTGTGAATGTTTGAGTGCTGACCTGGTTTTCTTCAGGTTTACTGACCTGAGACTGGAGTGGTTCACACAGTTTTATAGTGGGAGTTCTGGTCAGGAAATCTTCCTGGATTTTTGGGTGTTGTTGGGATAAAATGAGCTCAGTCACCAAACCACTCAAAGGCCCTTGTCCTCGTCATGGCGCCCTTCTTCTTAACACATTTCTAATGATTATCGTGGAAAACTGAGCCTCACAGTTTTTTAAGTGAGAAATGCTTTTGTCTCTTTTTGTGACTCTCGGCTCGTCCGCTCGACTCGAAGCTTGTTGTCTCAAGTTTCCTCTTCGTGCTCACGCTGAAGCCAGCAAATACACTTTGATCAGGTCACTTTTGTGGTGTTTTCTCTGTTATCCTAATGTTTATCAATGAATGTGTGATTGTGGATGGACAGAGCTGATGCTTCTCTGCAGTGCTTCCTGCTGCCACTGGAGGTCACTGCTGCACTGCGAGCACCTTCCTCCCATCAGACCTCCCCCTATAGCAGGGGTGGGCAACTCCAGGCCTGGAGGGCCGGTGTCCTGCAGGTTTTAGATGTGTCCTTGAACCAACACAGCTGATTTAAATGGCTAAATTAGCTCCTCAACATGTCCTGAAGTTCTCCAGAGGCCTGGTAACGAACTAATCATGTGATTCAGGTGTGTTGACCCAGGGTGAGATCTAAAACCTGCAGGACCCTCGAGGATGTCAGGACCCCTGCATCAGCGCCACCTCCCACTTCAACATGTCGTTGAACACTCAGGTACAGGTGAGTGCTCAGACCCCACCTGTCTGCAGCTTTTTGCTCAGTCACATGATGAGTGTTTGAATACCCGGCCTTCTTCCTCTCTGACTGACTCGCTGCTCCATCTTGTGGTATAAACTGGTATTTTACCCTGCGTTGCCCGTTTTAATGCAGCATGTGCCCCAAAAGTCAAAGGCTCCGGTCTTTTGTTGTTACACACATTCATTTACAATACACAGCTTCAAGTTCACACTTTATCTTATTTGTCTGTGCTTCAGACAAGCTCGGCTTGTTTCCACCGAGTGAAATCTGACAGGACAAACTTCCTTCAGCTGTTGTTTCTGTGGAAATCTACGAGGGGGCAGGAAAAGCAGGACAAACCGGGGGGGCTCTGTAACACTGCCCTTAATTAAAACACTCACAGTAACGTTTCTGCACAGAACACACTGATTGGACTCCAGGTTTCTGTATCACCCGTTTAATATCATCAGTTTACATGTGATTACTGTCCGTACAGTCATTTACATCAGAACCGTACAGACGTGAAGACGAGCAGGACTCAGGAGAAGCAGCAGGACGAAGATTCACACTCATCATCGTGTGGATGAAGTTTGTGAATCTTCCCGTTAATCTCTGAAGCAGGAAGCTGTGGATGAAAACGCGCTGGCTGTTTGCTTTTCTGGAGCTCTTTGCTTTTGTTACTTGGGCGTCCTGACTTGAACACAGTAAAACCCTCAGAATGAGAAGCGCTGTGGTTTCCTGTCAGCTGATCTGAAAAGAACCATAGACAGGAAGTCATCCCGAACTAAGGACAGGACAGGAAGCCTTCACCGCTCCAGGACTCGGGGGACGCTGCTTTGATTTAGCTTTCGTTTAACCGGATCAGCTGCTGCGCGTTTTCTCACACTCACCTGAGAACCAGCGACAGGAAGGAAGGGACAGAGCATGAACACGACTTTTCAGAATAAAACACAGAAACTGTAACAATAATACAAACATCAGTTTTAAACTATAATGTGTTAATGTTTGGAATCAATCACAGGCGCCTCCCACAGGCAAACACAGGAACAGCAGCAGGTATGACGGGACGATGAGCGCCACCTCCAGGCCAGGCGGGAAACCGCTGCAGTCGTTTTGTGAAAAACCTTAACGCACAGAAGTGCCGCTGCATCAGTGAGACATGTTAGGGTTTAAAACGATTAAATAAAGCTGTTTTATTATTTTTTATAAACACAATGGAAATGTGCTCATAAACATGTTGGCGCTCCGTGTTTGAGGGTCAAAAGCTTCGTCCAGCGCCATGACTGGATTTGAAATATTGAGGCGTAGACGTAGAGCACGGAGGGTTTTGCAGCATGCGTACACTTCAGGGTTAGAGAGATATTCTCTGGGAGAGTCTGAACAGAATGTCCTGAACTAGATATTGGAATCAGCGGTAGGATGAAAATGATCAAGGCTAGGCAGAGGGGTGTTTTTCTTTTCTGTCTCTTTCAGAGGAAGGAGCAGATACGAGGCGAGGTCGGAGGTGAGCAGGTGGGAGGACTCGTAGGGATCCAGCAGACGTTGGTTCTGGAAGAAGCTGTACGGCTCGCTGAGGGTCATCCTTTGTGTGAAGACAGACGGCTGTGTCACTTAGGGGGCGAGGCGTTTAACTTTTCAACTGCCAAAGCAAATCGTTTTAATTCAATTCAGTTGTATTTATATAGCGCCAAATCACAACAAAAGTCGCCTGAAGACGACAGATATTTCTCCTGAATTCCTTTGGAAAATATTTGACACATGCCCGAACCCTTCCTGCAGGTGGCGCTAGCCCTGATACAGCTGCTTCATCATCACCACATGGAAAACATCAGAATTCTGAGTTATGAATTCTGTTATTCACCTTTAGCACCACACCTGATCTCAGGTGTGAAGGTGGCCTCTTGGTTGGATTTAAATAAATGCTGCTGCAGTACCAGCTGTTGCCTGCAGGGGGTGACACACAGAGGCGAGTTTCTAACAGACCCCTGCTGCTGTTTTATGGCTTTAAAGGGTTAAAAGTAACAAGGTGAAGAAACATGGGAGGAAAAAGCCTTAAAGTGGGCGTGTTCTGCTTCTCCTCACTCCTGCAGCTCCGTGGTTTGGATTACTCATTAGGAAAGGACCTGGTGTTAAGCTTCATGTCCACGGACATCGTGAGTTTTTATAACCTGAGCTGAAAGATGTGCTGCAAGTGAACAGAGCCGATAGAAAAGCTACAGAGGCGAGAACGACCACTGAAGAGATTCTGGGGTTTGGACATGACAGGGTGACCAGCAGGGGGCGACTCTGGTGTGCGACTGTATACAAGTCCATGAGAAAATGAGCGCAGGGAAGTCTTTCCCGATGAGTCGCTGGTTTCACGTCTGCTTCATTAAAAAACAAAGTTTATTTTCTAAATTCTGGTCCCGTTAATACAAAGCAGGAGAGGGGCAGAGTGGGCGGAGCCAGGTGACAGAAGGAGAAGGTTTAAAGATGGTAGTGACACCTGCTGGGATGTTCAGATGTCCACTGGGAGTGAGCAGAATGGACAGGATCAGACGTGAGTCCAACAGACTAATGGCTCAGTTGGTCTGAGCATGTGCAGAAGCGGGAAGGTGGAGCTTCAGGCGGGAAGAGAAGAGAAAGAGCTCAGAGGAGGTTCATGGACGTAGTGGAGAGGGTTGGAGGGTGCTGGGATGGAAGATGATTCGCTGTGGAGAGCAGCTGACAGAGGAAGGAGACAGAGAAGCAGGCTGTGGTGGAGGATGGAGGCGGGGCTTCCATGAGTACAACAGAGCCGCCCACTTTCAAAACACCACGAAGGCGAAAATGCTCAAAAAGGTGCTCACGGTGGAAACGTCTATGCTGCATGTAGGAGGACATCTCTGGCTGCGAGTACATGAGCTCCGCCCACCTGATGTTCAAACGTTCTTTTCATGAAGGACAGCCATGAAAAGAACGTTTGTGTCAGATAAAGAAGGATTATTTTGAGTCGTGAATCATGCAAAGCTGCTCTGACAAGTCCACGAGTCCAGAGTTTCCTCCCCCTCTTCATCCCTCACGACATCACGTTTAAAGTCGACCATCAGGAAGTGACCGATGAGCAGAGGAAAATCAGCAGCAGGTGAGCGCAGGTGACGAGGAGGAAGAGGAGGAGCTGAATTCAATCTTCTTGTTAAAGGTGAAAAGATGATCGACCTGCAGACGGCGTTGAGAATGCAGAGCTACAAACAGGAAGCTAAAGGGCTGCGCCGTTCCCTCACTGTCTGGTTTCAACCCGGGCATCCAACCGAGCTCCCGTGACTCTGGGAGCAAGGCTCCGCCCTCCCATGACTCGCCGTCAGACGTCGCTCATGTCGAAGGCCCTCATCAGCAGGTCTAGGTCGCCCATGTTGGCGGCCTGGAACAGCTCGGGGCGGTCCATCATTGAGATGGCGATCCGCAAGGCGGCCCAGATGTTAGCCGACATCTGCTGCTGGCTGCAGCGCTGACTCCGCCTCTGCTGGTTCAGCGCCGTGAGGAAGTTACTGACCGCCTCCCTGCAGGACCAGGACCGGGGTTATACAACTACATCGCCGCAGTAAGACTGGTCTGTGTGAGGTCAGAGGTCAGTGCCAGGGTTACCTGTGCGCTCCCAGGTTGATGCAGCTGATTCCCAGGTTGTACCGCGAGCGGATGAATCCGGGCTGCAGCTCCAGAGCTCTGGTGTACGCCTCCACCGCCTCCTCGCTGCGGTTTCCGTTGGCGAGCGTGGCTCCCAGACGGTTCCACAGCAGGTAGTCCTGCAGAGAGAAACCCCGCCGCTGACAGTGTCACTGCTCGTATGAAAGGACCGCCACCATGTTGACGTGTGTGTGTCTGCGTGCGTGTTACCTGTGGCCTGACAGACAGCGCTGCACTGAAAGCTTCCACCGCCTTGTCGAAGTCCGAGCTCAGGTTGAAGAGGACTCCCAGCCCGGTCTGCAGGTCGGGATCCACACAGTCCAGGTTCAGCAGAGCCGCCTCCTGGAAGAGGAGCAGCACGTCCTGCAGCTCACACCTGCGCACACACACAGCTTGGTTCCATCCAATCACAGAGGAGTTGGAACTTTACAAGAACAAGCTGACTGAACTTCATACCTGGCAGGTGTGGAGGCGTGGGGGCTCCTGCACGGCATGGCCGGGGAGCCCCGTAGCGGACTCCTGCTGTCCTGGACCAGGTGTTTATATCGCGGGTTGTGACAGATCCAGCGGCGCAGCACGTCGCCGGCCTCCCGCTGCATGCCGCTGTTAGTGAAACTGACGGCGAGCGCCATGAGGGCCGGCAGGTTGTTGGGGCGGAGCTCCAGGCACCTGCAGCAGGTAAAGCAGATTAGCTCCAGCAAACAGTTAGCATGTCAGGGTTGAATATAAAGCAGAGCTCTCCAGCATGAAGGCGACTGACCTCTGCAGCGACACGATGGCGGCCTGCTCGTTCTCGTTGTCAGCCTGAGTCATACCCAGAAGCTGCCACGCC